GGTCCATTTGATGTTCCTCCCTTGGATTGAGACCGTTTCACTCATGTTTGTCCTCATAGTCATGTGTAGAACCTATTAATCCATGTTTGGGTAAGTATGGGTCCATCTAGTTCATCTTATACACTACAAGTGAGTTTCCACAATGTGGAGTCACAGAGGTACATTTCGGACTCCTTACCTCTTCCGGTTCCCAAATTAGGTCCATTTGATGTTCCTCCCTTGGATTGAGACCGTTTCACTCATGTTTGTCCTCATAGTCATGTGTAGAACCTATTAATCCATGTTTGGGTAAGTATGGGTCCATCTAGTTCATCTTATACACTACAAGTGAGTTTCCACAATGTGGAGTCACAGAGGTACATTTCGGACTCCTTACCTCTTCCGGTTCCCAAATTAGGTCCATTTGATGTTCCTCCCTTGGATTGAGACCGTTTCACTCATGTTTGTCCTCATAGTCATGTGTAGAACCTATTAATCCATGTTTGGATAAGTATGGGTCCATCTAGTTCATCTTATACACTACAAGTGAGTTTCCACAATGTGGAGTCACAGAGGTACATTTCGGACTCCTTACCTCTTCCGGTTCCCAAATTAGGTCCATTTGATGTTCCTCCCTTGGATTGAGACCGTTTCACTCATGTTTGTCCTCATAGTCATGTGTAGAACCTATTAATCCATGTTTGGGTAAGTATGGGTCCATCTAGTTCATCTTATACACTACAAGTGAGTTTCCACAATGTGGAGTCACAGAGGTACATTTCGGACTCCTTACCTCTTCCGGTTCCCAAATTAGGTCCATTTGATGTTCCTCCCTTGGATTGAGACCGTTTCACTCATGTTTGTCCTCATAGTCATGTGTAGAACCTATTAATCCATGTTTGGGTAAGTATGGGTCCATCTAGTTCATCTTATACACTACAAGTGAGTTTCCACAATGTGGAGTCACAGAGGTACATTTCGGACTCCTTACCTCTTCCGGTTCCCAAATTAGGTCCATTTGATGTTCCTCCCTTGGATTGAGACCGTTTCACTCATGTTTGTCCTCATAGTCATGTGTAGAACCTATTAATCCATGTTTGGGTAAGTATGGGTCCATCTAGTTCATCTTATACACTACAAGTGAGTTTCCACAATGTGGAGTCACAGAGGTACATTTCGGACTCCTTACCTCTTCCGGTTCCCAAATTAGGTCCATTTGATGTTCCTCCCTTGGATTGAGACCGTTTCACTCATGTTTGTCCTCATAGTCATGTGTAGAACCTATTAATCCATGTTTGGATAAGTATGGGTCCATCTAGTTCATCTTATACACTACAAGTGAGTTTCCACAATGTGGAGTCACAGAGGTACATTTCGGACTCCTTACCTCTTCCGGTTCCCAAATTAGGTCCATTTGATGTTCCTCCCTTGGATTGAGACCGTTTCACTCATGTTTGTCCTCATAGTCATGTGTAGAACCTATTAATCCATGTTTGGGTAAGTATGGGTCCATCTAGTTCATCTTATACACTACAAGTGAGTTTCCACAATGTGGAGTCACAGAGGTACATTTCGGACTCCTTACCTCTTCCGGTTCCCAAATTAGGTCCATTTGATGTTCCTCCCTTGGATTGAGACCGTTTCACTCATGTTTGTCCTCATAGTCATGTGTAGAACCTATTAATCCATGTTTGGGTAAGTATGGGTCCATCTAGTTCATCTTATACACTACAAGTGAGTTTCCACAATGTGGAGTCACAGAGGTACATTTCGGACTCCTTACCTCTTCCGGTTCCCAAATTAGGTCCATTTGATGTTCCTCCCTTGGATTGAGACCGTTTCACTCATGTTTGTCCTCATAGTCATGTGTAGAACCTATTAATCCATGTTTGGGTAAGTATGGGTCCATCTAGTTCATCTTATACACTACAAGTGAGTTTCCACAATGTGGAGTCACAGAGGTACATTTCGGACTCCTTACCTCTTCCGGTTCCCAAATTAGGTCCATTTGATGTTCCTCCCTTGGATTGAGACCGTTTCACTCATGTTTGTCCTCATAGTCATGTGTAGAACCTATTAATCCATGTTTGGATAAGTATGGGTCCATCTAGTTCATCTTATACACTACAAGTGAGTTTCCACAATGTGGAGTCACAGAGGTACATTTCGGACTCCTTACCTCTTCCGGTTCCCAAATTAGGTCCATTTGATGTTCCTCCCTTGGATTGAGACCGTTTCACTCATGTTTGTCCTCATAGTCATGTGTAGAACCTATTAATCCATGTTTGGATAAGTATGGGTCCATCTAGTTCATCTTATACACTACAAGTGAGTTTCCACAATGTGGAGTCACAGAGGTACATTTCGGACTCCTTACCTCTTCCGGTTCCCAAATTAGGTCCATTTGATGTTCCTCCCTTGGATTGAGACCGTTTCACTCATGTTTGTCCTCATAGTCATGTGTAGAACCTATTAATCCATGTTTGGGTAAGTATGGGTCCATCTAGTTCATCTTATACACTACAAGTGAGTTTCCACAATGTGGAGTCACAGAGGTACATTTCGGACTCCTTACCTCTTCCGGTTCCCAAATTAGGTCCATTTGATGTTCCTCCCTTGGATTGAGACCGTTTCACTCATGTTTGTCCTCATAGTCATGTGTAGAACCTATTAATCCATGTTTGGATAAGTATGGGTCCATCTAGTTCATCTTATACACTACAAGTGAGTTTCCACAATGTGGAGTCACAGAGGTACATTTCGGACTCCTTACCTCTTCCGGTTCCCAAATTAGGTCCATTTGATGTTCCTCCCTTGGATTGAGACCGTTTCACTCATGTTTGTCCTCATAGTCATGTGTAGAACCTATTAATCCATGTTTGGGTAAGTATGGGTCCATCTAGTTCATCTTATACACTACAAGTGAGTTTCCACAATGTGGAGTCACAGAGGTACATTTCGGACTCCTTACCTCTTCCGGTTCCCAAATTAGGTCCATTTGATGTTCCTCCCTTGGATTGAGACCGTTTCACTCATGTTTGTCCTCATAGTCATGTGTAGAACCTATTAATCCATGTTTGGGTAAGTATGGGTCCATCTAGTTCATCTTATACACTACAAGTGAGTTTCCACAATGTGGAGTCACAGAGGTACATTTCGGACTCCTTACCTCTTCCGGTTCCCAAATTAGGTCCATTTGATGTTCCTCCCTTGGATTGAGACCGTTTCACTCATGTTTGTCCTCATAGTCATGTGTAGAACCTATTAATCCATGTTTGGGTAAGTATGGGTCCATCTAGTTCATCTTATACACTACAAGTGAGTTTCCACAATGTGGAGTCACAGAGGTACATTTCGGACTCCTTACCTCTTCCGGTTCCCAAATTAGGTCCATTTGATGTTCCTCCCTTGGATTGAGACCGTTTCACTCATGTTTGTCCTCATAGTCATGTGTAGAACCTATTAATCCATGTTTGGGTAAGTATGGGTCCATCTAGTTCATCTTATACACTACAAGTGAGTTTCCACAATGTGGAGTCACAGAGGTACATTTCGGACTCCTTACCTCTTCCGGTTCCCAAATTAGGTCCATTTGATGTTCCTCCCTTGGATTGAGACCGTTTCACTCATGTTTGTCCTCATAGTCATGTGTAGAACCTATTAATCCATGTTTGGATAAGTATGGGTCCATCTAGTTCATCTTATACACTACAAGTGAGTTTCCACAATGTGGAGTCACAGAGGTACATTTCGGACTCCTTACCTCTTCCGGTTCCCAAATTAGGTCCATTTGATGTTCCTCCCTTGGATTGAGACCGTTTCACTCATGTTTGTCCTCATAGTCATGTGTATTAAAATTAAGGCAAAAGGGTTTCAAACTTCTTTTCCAAAAATAATTTGATATTTATTGTTTGTGTTCTTTTTTTGGTGGTTTGTGTGGGAAACAAATGTTTCCCACTCTTTATTCATGAAACAAATTTAAGAAATGCAAACATTCCTTGGATACGCAGATCCAAGTACATCATCTTGTAAAATAGAAATAACATCTCTTGGGGCTTCTACGAAGCTATGCAAACCTAGAGCAAGAGTAAAAGCATAGTTTGCTAATCCGTCAGCCAGATGATTAGCCTCCCTATACACGTGAGATATGCGGACTTCCCAGTCCCTTTTGATGAAGCCATGGCACAGATGCACCAGGAAAGACAGCGGATGTGAATCTCCAATCCCTGTCGTAAGAAAACCCACCACCAGCTCAGAATCAATTTCCACTTCGAGCTTCACAATCTTTCTGTCCCAAGCAAAGCACAATCCATAATAAACGCCCCACAACTCCGCTACCGGCGCTGTGCATCTCCCGATATGTAGCGCAAAGCCACCACACCATTCTCCATAGTTATTCCGAAGCACCCCATCTGCAGCAGCAGACCCTGGGTTTCCGCGGGAAGCTCCATCCGTATTTAGTTTAACCCACCCTGTTTGCGGCTGTATCCACCTGATCATTCGTTCCTCCCGTAACGGTTTCGGGTTCTGTGTCAGACACGCTTCAGAGACTGTAAGCACTTCTTTCGCGAGGTCCTTGAGAAAGCGCACCCGATCCCGGCACTTCCCATTCTCTCCAAAAAGGTTCCCGCATCTCCACTTCCAACCCCACCAAATAGACATCCCAAACAGAGTAGACCACGGCACTCCAAACGTTACACCGTCCTCTCCCAGATTCTCATATAACCATGGCAGGAGCGGCTTCATGAAAAACTCATGTTGCTTCCTGGCTGGGACAAGTCTGGTCCAGATACCTTGCATGGCAGGGCAGTCTCTAATGATATGTATGAGCGTTTCCACTCCACCTTTACACACGGGACAAATATCCGAGTCACAGAGATGTCTCCTCTTCCTTTCTGCATTCGTCATGACGCATTGCTTCCCTACTAGCCAAAGAAAAAACCTCACTCGTTCAGGTGCCATAACACTCCATATACGGCTGAAGAATGACTCCATAGACTGTCGCGGGCACTCATTCCTTGTCAGAAGGATGTAAGCTGATCGCACCAAGAATTCTCCATCCTTGTCAGAAGGATGTAAGCTGATCGCACCAAGAATTCTCCACTCGGGCTAAGTAACCAAGATATTCGGTCTGTTGCGCCTGTAACTGTATCCACCACTAAAGACAGAAATTCAAGTCTCGTATTGTCTGACACGAAGGGGAGGATCTTGTCCCAGATCCACCCTGTACCCTCTTGCCATAAGTCCCTGACCGTTAGGGTTTCATAATTTTCCGGCAGTTCTGCTCTTGTGGTATCGACCAACGGTTGATCCGACACCCATCTATCTGTCCAGAACTTAATGGACTTCCCATCTCCTACAACCCAGCCTTGACCTTGGAAAATCACTTCCCTGATACCCACCATTATACTCTTCCATGTCGATGACCAATGGTTCTTCTTTACTATCCAATTGCCGGTTAAAGCTTCACCTAACTTGTACTTGCTCCGTAGTACACGTGCCCAAAGGCTAGTGTGGTCTTGTAACAGCCTCCATCCGACTTTGGCTATCATAGCTATGTTCATACTTCCTGCGGGACGCAAGCCCAAACCTCCCTCCCACTTGGGGAGACACACTCGTTCCCAGGCCACTAGGTGCTGTTTTTTGGTCCCTCCATTGCTTCCCCACAAGAAGGATCTCGAGAGCTGGTCCAGTTTAGCCATTGTAGCCTTTGGCAAGAGGATTGTGCCCATCGAATGTACAGGGATCGATGCAAGTACTGATTTCGCAAGCGTGAGCCGTCCTGCTGTGCTCAATACTCTGACTTTCCACCCTGCCATACGTGACAAGAAAAACAAAACAAAATACCAAGTGGCTTTAGATCTACATAACTAATAAGTCTTGGGACACTCTCCAGCTGAGGACACGTTACACCTTTTTTTTTCTCCCCTAACACCAAAACGACGTCGTTTCGCATTCTCAATTTTTTTTTCCGTGTAACACCAAAACGACGTCGTTTTGTCCTTTTTAAAAAAATCATTTTTATTTTCTCTCCCTCTTACGCCAAAACGACGTCGTTTTGAACCCTAATAAATTTTTTTTTCCACGCAACTTTTTTTCCCGACTGCTCCGCTGCGATCGGCCGCCAGATCCACACCGACCTCCGGCGAGACTGTTCACATCCCTGCCTCTGCCGTTTCAGCTTTCAATGCTCGCTGCCTCTATATAAAGCTCCGCCATCTGATCTCACTTTTTTTCCCAGAACGTTTTCCCCAATTCCACATGGCTCACTGTCAATTCGTGACTACGATTGATACCCGGAATCATAGCTCCGACATTCTCTCCGGAATTGGATTCGATGGAGCAAGTGTCACCACCACCGTATCGTTATGTAAAAGCTTGTGTATTGATCAAATGCAAACTCCATGGAACTAATTATTCAGTTGAATATCTTCTCTATGTATCGTTTCAATCTAAAAATTGACGAAACTAATCATTCAGCTCAAATTTGACTGTAATCTACCTGCTTGGTGGAGAAAATATTATATCTTTTCAGTATGGGGATGATTGCAAGTAGTTTGATTCGTTTTTGCTATCATTGGGTGTGAAAACTTAAAACTACTATGAATGCATAAGAAGAGAAAAGGAACAAAATATGATGCTAATGGATGCTAAAACTATGCAAAAGATGCACTAAAACTATGCAAATTGCAAGTACATTACAAACATGGATTAATAGCTTCTATACATGACTATGAGGACAAAAATGAATGAAACGGTCTCAATCCAAGGGAGGAACATCAAATGGACCAAACTTGGGAACCGGAAGAGGTAAGGAGTCCGATATGTACCTCTGTGACTCCAGATTGAGGAAACTCACTTGTAGTGTATAAGGTGACTAAATGGACCCATACTTACCCAAACATGGATTAATAGCTTCTAAACATGACTATGAGGACAAACATGAGTGAAACGGTCTCAATCCAAGGGAGGAACATCAAATGGACCTAATTTGGGAACCGGAAGAGGTAAGGAGTCCGAAATGTACATCTGTGACTCCAGGTTGAGGAAACTCACTTGTAGTGTATAAGATGAACTAGATGGACCCATACTTATCCAAACATGGATTAATAGTTCTACACATGACTATGAGGACAAACATGACTGAAACGGTCTCAATCCAAGGGAGGAACATCAAATGAACCAAATTTGGGAACCGGAAGAGGTAAGGAGTCCGAAATGTACCTCTGTGACTCCACATTGTGGAAACTCACTTGTAGTGTATAAGATGAACTAGATGGTTCCATACTTACCCAAACATGGATTAATAGCTTCTACACATACATATGACTATGAGGACAAACATAACTGAAACGGTCTTAATCCAAAGAAGGAACATCAAATGGACCTAATTCTGGTAGATCATTCATTTGCTAACTGGAGATTGCACAGGAAAATCTAGTCCAATAAGGGAGAATTGGTATGGGTTTGCCACAAAGTGCTTCAGATAAGCAAGCCCATGAAACTTCT